TTTTTTTTTTTGGGTGTAAGGATGATCTTTGAATGAAGGCTTAAAATATAGATGGCTTGGATTGTTGAAGTAATATTTGTAGTGAACCTTATAAGGTGTCCGTCAAAAATAGTTATTTAAGAAATCCATCGATAGGGGATTGATATAGTAAATATTTTAATTCTATAATAAAATAAAAAAAATTGAAAAAACGAAAAAGAAAATCAATTGGCACCGTGTGCTAATGGGCTAGTATATAGTTAATCATTAAGTAATAATTAACTTAGTAGTGCTAAATCTTGGATGTTTGAAAGCAAATTATCCCACATCGAAGGAAACAAATAGTTTTACATGCTTTATAAGCATAAAATTTTGCACCAATTAAAGAAGATTGGTGGGCTGATGGGCTTGGTAGTGAAGGCTATACATGGTTGGCTTGATTAATAATATTTAAGTAATCAAGACTTGGGCCTTGGGCTCTGGAAGATTACTAAAGACATCCAGCCCGAAAATAAAATAATATTTTTTATTTCGTTTTATGGGTTTCTTATAGTAGAAGTTAAATTCAAACTAGAGTCTTATCTTTTCGTTTGAATTTGAACAAGTATAACTGATACTAATTGCTTTTTTGAAGGGGTGCAATTGGGAGATAGACGCCTATTAAATTTCAAGCATTGAGAAGGGGCGAAATTTTATCTTTAGGACATTGCAAATCCGCAAGTCTCTATCTTCTTTAAAAGTCAATTTTCTGCATTTAGTTTCTGTCTACATATTTATGCAGTTTGTATTATTAATTTCTGTATAAACCTATTGCTTCGTGTATTACTATAGTGATATAATATTATAAGTCATTTATTGATTTTTCTAAACACTAGAAACAACGTATTTGCAATTATTCATAACAATTAACATGCAACACTTTCAAAAAGTAGGAACTTCTAATGAAAAAAAAAATATTATGATTAATAAATGTTATTGGCCAATATTGAAGTATCACTATTATGTTGAAGAGAAATCTCTCCTTTTGAATTAATTTATGAGAAAAATCCATTACTTTCCTATTAAATTAAGTAATTTTCTTCTTCCTTTTTTTTCTCTCTTAAATATGAAAGAATTCAATTAAAAATGTTAAATTTTCAAATAGTTCGAATCCAAGTAAAATGTTTGAAAAGACCATTTCTATCCGAAGGTACAGAGACAAAACTTTTAGGGTAGAAAAGTTAAGAAGTGGTGTCCACGTAGGAAACGACGTGTGACCACGTCAAATTGATGCCATCGCTTCCATAACACGCAACTTTTTCTACATCCTTACTCATTCCTCCACTTTTTGTGTTGTGACAACTTGACATATTAGGCTTAACTCAACCACGGTTACCTTGGTATCTAATAATGTCACACAATTCATCCCCTATGAAGTAGCTTCTTTTGCAGAAAAGGACTTGTGTAAATATGGTGCATTCTCGAGGGTCTTGTGCTGTGACACCACTTCAGGACATCCGTGAGTGAAATCATATGATTTCAATACAACATGACTGCATTATTAAATGGGTTGACCAAACCCAACCCAATCAAACCCAATCCGAATTAATTATGAGATATTTAGTTATATACCCATTTTTAGCACTAAATTTATAAATAAACCCTACACCATTTAATTTTTATAAACAAATTCAAAAAATGATAGCTGGTCCTATTAAATTTAATTTTGATTATTAAATTCTTTTGATGCCCTATTGAGTGTTTTAGGCTTTTTTTTATGAGGTTTTGGAGTTAGGTTTGTTTTAAGAAACCAATGGCAGTTTTGTAATTTAAAAGAAGTTAAAAATCTTTTTGTTATATTATAAATGGATTTTATGTGTGTTTCTAAAGTTCATTTCATATATGATTTTTTTATAATTTGCGCTCCTATATTAAGTATAATAGTGAATCTCTCAATAATTATTTGATGCTGTTGTCTTGAAATCAACCATATGGTGCCAAAGACTATGTAGTCGAGTAGCTACAGAGGGGCAGGTTGATTGGGGTCATAGAATTGCGTGATGAAGCCAAATTGGCTTTTCGAGAACCTCAAGAATCCCGCCATATCCCTCTCCTTTTTCTTTCTCTTTCTTCTCTCATATCAGAGCAGAGAGCAGGCGCCGCAATTGATGATATAATGTTGTCCGGTCCCTCTCAAACTATCGTCACGCCTTACCCTTGCACCATTTGCTTTGCGGCCCCAACTGCCCCACACAACCCATGAAAGCATCAACTTATTAATTAGGCTTTATCTAATTCACATCACTAATTAATCTCATCATCACCATCTCGTTTTATCCGCATCAAGCTTATCTACATGCCATTATGAACCTCACTAACCTCATAATAACATAGAATTTCATAATAATTATCTAAAAAGGATGGTTATCTACATCTCATTTCACCAGTCTTTTTGCAGTTTTTTTATATTTGGAATAAGTTGTAGAGATTCTTTGGGTCTTCTGTGTTGTTTTCCACTTCTCTTTTGTGATAATTTTCTTTGTATTGTTATGATTGTTTTGAATTTATAATCTTAATTGGGATGCCTAAGTCTTAATATCAACAAGTCTACCTTGCCCTAGATTAAAAGTGATGAATTTGTTGTAGCGTGTGTGCCATGCCATGTTTGAATTATGGGATGTTGATGCCGAGTCGTTTCAGATTTGTTTTAAGTAGTAATCAATCTTGGCCAAACTTGATTAATTAATGATGTTGAATAAGCTAACACTCACCAACCAATATACTAATGGCATTGTACACATGAAAATTCCCTTAGCAAAACCAAGAAAAAAATGCCTTTAACGCAAAAAATAATTAAGATATTTTTATACAATACCATTTAAATATGTGTTTTCATGTTGATATTATTCATTAATACTTGCACTAGTTGGGCATGCCACTTTTGATTTCAGGTCAAATAGAAGCAACTCTAATCTATTAATATCATCATACGTTAATGTCAAGTTGAAAATTATATTTTAAAATGAAAATGAAAGTTGGATCTTTCCATTTTTGTCTTTTAACTAAACTGAAACTATTCACGATAATAATCAAATGGTTAAACGATTTTTGATTTGGCTAAACTAGTTTTCGATAGTTTTCTTTGTATTGTTATGATTGTTTCCGGAAAAAGATTGTTCGAATCATGAGAAGACGATTGTGGTGTGAATCCAAACTAGTATTGTTAACTTACTAACGCCTGGACACTCTTAATTCAGGTTTGAACTGAAAGAAATATCTAAAATGGCGTAAGGATACCAAATTCCTTGATGTTGATTTTTGTTTTCAAAAAAAAAAACAAAAAACAAAAAACAAAAACATCAACGGTCCATATTAATGGTCTGGTACCAAATGTGATAACGAAAAAACACTAACTCAGTGCCCTAGCAATTTTCGCTGAGGTTGAGGTGGCAGTGAAACGGCAAGTCATAACAGTGCAAACGACAAAAAGCATGAAAATCCAAAATTTGCTAACGGGAGCACATAACAGTCAACCTAATCTAGCAAATCGAAGACAGCCACGTGTAAAGCCCTGGCTCATCAACAGACAACTGCCCTTCACTAAATACAATGCACAAAAACGTGTCATGTCGTCATTGGTGCCCACATCGAATAAAGGTATCTCTGAAGTTGACGAGGCAGAAATGATTAATTAATGAAGAAAACGTGGTTAGAGAGAGAAACCGGAGGCTTAAGCCAGTGCAGAGAGAGCCACTGGCTTGGGGCTTATATAAACAGAGAACAAGTGACCCAAGGAAGCACAAGAGAGCCAAAAACACCAAAGTGAGGCCACACAAACAAAAAGAGTGATAGAGAGAGAGTGAGAGCTTTTCTGCAACTGTGTTTGATAATTTTGATTGTTCTTCAACTCCTTCCCCTTTCTCTTTGAACCCCTCTTCTCTGAATCCCTTTCTGTCGTCGTCTGTTTTTCGAAAGAACATATTTTGGGGCTTGTTTTTGGGAATCTTAATTGGAAATTACATCAATTGTGATAAAACAAAGCAAACCCAGAAGGGTATTTCTGAAAGCAGGTGATTCAGAACAGTGATCCAGGTTTTTTCTCCTTTTTTTTTTTTCAGTATAAAGTTTTAAGCTTTTCTGTGATCAACTGGGAGGGTTTATTTTTGTCCCTCGAAGGTTGGTTTTTTCAAGCCTGTTTAGTCTTTCTTTGTGCAAAAAAACCTTGTCTTTTTATCTGGGTTTTTTTTCTTCTTCTTGGATTTAGTCTACCTGTTCTTTGATTTTGGTAAGAAACAGGTTGGTTTTAAGGAAATATATTTTCTGTCTTATATTCTAGCTTTTACCCCTTTTGTGACTACATGGCAACCGCTATAGATCTTTACAGCAGCAGCTCAATGACACCAGATTTATCAGATTCCTTGAGGGACGATCAGCTCCTGAAAGCACTTATGCCTTTTATGAAAAGTGTTTCATCAACCTCTTCTTTGACATCTATTTCTTCTTCTATTTCTTCACCAACCTCTCCTTCAACTTCTTATTCTTCCTTTTCTTCCTACCCTTCTTCTTGCACTTACCCTCCTCCACTCTACTCTTCTCAGCCCAATTTGTACCCTGACTTTTGCTCACCATCCACAACCCACATGTTTGATCAAGTGAGTTTTGAGCAAACAGGTTCAATAGGGCTTAACCAACTTACCCCATCTCAAATTCTTCAAATCCAAACCCAAATGGTCCTCCAACAACAGCAGGAACTCCAACAAAAGGAACAAATTGCTGCTCTTGCTTCTCCAGCTTCACTGCAAAACCAATATCAGCACCAAAACCCTCGCACCCTGAAATTCCTCAGCCCAAAAGCCATCCCAATGAAGCAAGTTGGTGCTCCCTCCAAACCCACAAAGCTCTACAGGGGAGTGAGGCAGAGGCATTGGGGCAAATGGGTTGCTGAGATTAGACTTCCCAAGAACCGAACCCGCCTATGGCTTGGTACCTTTGCC